TGTTGAACTGGAAAGCAGTGGTAATAGGGTATGGCTCTGGACTGTTGTTTGGATTGACAACAGGACTGTTGTTTGGTCCGAACAGGCTCAGAAACCGTTAAGATTTATTTCATTTTGCGTTTATCTTATGATAGTCAAGTGTAGTTCATGTTTTTTGTAAACAAGCATCATATGTATCAATAACATTTTCTTCACCAAAGTTTTTTTCTAAACCAAAGACTCAGATAGAAACAAACAGAATATACATTTCAGGCAGACTTCAAAACCTTAGAAAATATCACAATTCAAAGTTCCTAAACCCCTAAAACTAAAACCCAAGAATCCAATTCAATAAACTTATGTTCATTTCAAGATTGTGTCACTCAAAACTAATTGAACCTTGAGTTGGTTTTTCTTACACTAAATCAGCGTTTGAATTAAACAAAGAGAAATTAACCCGAAATCGGCAAAATTATATATACACAGGAAATAACCTGAAACTCTTTGATTTCGGAAGAAGCCTCCACCAAAACTTCGACGAGAGTGACGACGGTGGTGATAAAAGAGAATCTCCTTTTTGACTTTACCAGATATAATAACAATCTGGTTCATTTGATTATTATGTATATACCGGTTTAATGTGAACCGAAATGTAATTTGGTCTAAATTGGTTTACCTAGTTCTGGTTAAGCTTTTTCGTTTTTGATTTACATATGGTGTTTAGCTTCTTCTTCGTTTATATACTTGTACTAACTATGAGAAACCATCTCAAGTAATATTTGACTAATTATTGTTTGAAAACAAACTTTACATATCAAACTGTGGATAGACATACATAAACAGAAGAAAAACACACTTCACTTTAACAACAACAAACAGAGATTGTTAAAACATTCCTTACTCTTAGCTTTTGAGTTTTTGAGTAATAAAAACTCAAAAGTGCTACTCAAATTATCAAAGGAATAAACAACCAACGTTGTAAAGACACAAGCTTACTGATTTCCTTCCTTTGTCTTTTAGCAGATTCCTCTGGTGACTTTTACGAGTCTTGTTGGCGTTGTTGATCTCTAATGCTCTGCCTCCAATGGTTAAGAAGTTGTGATGCGGAATTGCAGATTTTGCGGTCTTTGTGCTTTGTTAGACGCTCAAGCTTCTCCATGATCCTCCTTGTTCCCGGATCTGTCGAGCTGACGGGGAAGCTCACGAGTAAAGTGAGAGTGTCTACACATATCGATGTCTCTGCATTAGCCGTCAAAAGTCCCTTTGCGTTAGCCACATCTGCTGATTTCTTGGCTATGTCGAACAGCTCCAGCATCTCCGATGAGTTCTTCTTCAAGGCAGGGCAATATTTAGGGTCTCCAGAGACTTTCACAAGGAGTTGCTTCTTCGTATGGAGAGGCCTTCCCGATCTAGGGTTTTCGTGAATCGATTTGCAAGTCTTGTCTCTCACGCTCTTCAAGGATGGAGGGTTTTCAGCTACTTTGACGGGTAGAGAAGCCTGTTTCTGTGTCTGAAGAGTCCTTTTGGCAAAAGACTTGCAACCATCGATTTCACGAGCCTGGGATTTCTCATCTTCGTTCTTCTTCAACCTCAAAAACTCGGTCTTTTTCTTCAACTTGGAACATACTTTAACAACATCAGATTTGATCTTCGGATTCAAGGGAATAGCTTTGTTGCCGGTAGTACTAGAGTCTGATCTTCCGCTTGAATAAAGAGTCTTCATCCAAGAGTTGAACAAGACGTGAGTTCCCATACGAATCTTAGGGTTTTCATGATCTATTAGACTCTGCAAAGGAAGTATCGATTCAGAGCTACGAAGATCTTTGACAGAGAGACGCAAACTCTTCAAATACCGCAGAATATCAGAGCAGCGTTCAACACCGAAGACACTCTTTGAATTAGCGTCCTTAATCGCACCACACACCAAACGCCGAAGATCAGGTCTCTCTCTTGCAATCGCAATCTTCTTCATCATCTTCTTCAGGATCGAGGGTGTGTTTCTCTCTCTTGTTCAACTTCTTAGAGAATGAATACGAACTTTGAAAGAGGCAAGCTAGGGTTTCACTCTCTGAACTTTGAAAAGAAC